GATATGTTGCTTAAAATGGAAAAACAACAACAGAATAAGTTTTCTAGAGAAGAACCGAATTGAATACAACATAGTAATAGAAGTAGTTACTTTTGATTGTGTTGCTTCTATATTTCTCAATTCGAAAAAATAAAACATTTTAAATTGTATAATAGTAATATTGTTGCTCATCTTTAACAAAATAAGTTGTTTGGAGAAGAGGGAATTGAATGCAAGCAATAGTTATTTTTGATTGTGTTGCTTCCATATGTCTCAAAACAAATTGTTTGTGTAATAATAATAATGGATCAATTTGAAAAAAAAAACAACAAAAAAAAACAAAATAAGTTGTTTGGAGAAGAGGCAAATTGAATGCAACATAATAATAGCAATAGTTATTTTTAATTGTGACACTTCCATATGTCTCATTTGAAAAAATAAATCCTTTTAAATTGTTTATATAATAATAATAATAATAATAATGACGCGTTGCTTTAAAATGATAAAAAAAACAAAATAAGTTGTTTGGAGAAGAGGAAATTGAATTTGGAAAAAAGGCAAGTTGTAAAAATAATCATGGCGCAAACAAATTTACTGAAACAAACTGCACATTATATAAACAAACTCATTGCATTAGTATCGCGAAAAATTTTTTATCACAACAGAAAATCAAATCTTTTAGTTTTTATTAAAATGTAAATAAACTATATTAAATAGTCTTTTTTACTAGACAATAGTGAACGTACTTGTTTGTTAAATAAACTATTGATTCTGTTCTATTTTTTAGAAATCAAATAATGAATAATAATACTCTAGGTCAAATTCTTTAGCTTGATGTTTGAACCATTTTCTTAATGGTTTGAATAATATCTTGGGGTGAATTGACACGCCATCCAGCCAAAGTTTTTTTATTTGCAGAACCAACCATTGTGCAAAAATAACTATCATCTGGTAAATGAGACTTTTTTATTGCTTTAAACATATCTTCGTCTGTTCTGTCATCGCCTGCACAAAATACAAAATCAACATCCGGATGACTTTCCAAAAGATACTTTACAATTTCACCCTGAATTTTTTTTTATAAAGAAAAAATTTATTTATAATTATTTACTAATCATTGTAGGTTAAAAAAAAGAGAAATAGTTATATAATATATATATACCTTGTTTGTGATTGTAGGTCTAACCTCTAGATTTTTTTTACCTGATAGTATCTCAATTGGTAATTTGGGAATGATTGCACTTTCAAGATGATTTTGACATTCTTTAGCTTGGAATGCTCTATACATATTTTTTAATTGTTAATATTATATTATATTATATTATATTATATAGATGGATGATTAATTAATTACCCATATTCAGGATCTGCTTGACGATAATGCCAAGTAATCGAAGAATTTTTATGTTCTACAAATGATCCTTGAGTGCGTTCTTTATAATATGTGAATATTTCAAGTACATCATCTTTCCAACTCATATCAATATCTTTCATAAGGTTAATCCATTCATCACTTTCGGGACTTTTTATAAAACCACCATGTTCAGCACTTTATCAAGACAAAAAAAATTTTTTCTGTGTGAATTAATAATAGTAAATATTTTTTTGCAAAAATTATTAGGCAAACAAATCACTCTTACCTAAATCCAAGTTTTTTAATGCCACCAAGCCATTTATCTAATGCATAAGTATCACGTCCTGAAATTATCCAAACTTTATTTTTAGGATCATCTGCAAGTTCCTTTAATCCTTTTAAGGTATCAGCCTTTGGGATTGCAGCACTTGGAGTCAGAACAATAGGAGTTAAAGTACCCTAATAATAAATTTTTTTTTAAAAAATTTACAACAACAATAATAATAATAATAATAATAATAATAATAATAATAATAATAATATTAATAATATTAATAATATTAATAATAATAATAATATTAATATTAATATTAATATTATTAATAATAAAGCTATTGCTTTAAAAAAAAGTTTACATCATAGTCAAATAATAATAATCTATTTTTAGCGAGTTTGTATTTATCTAGTAAACTATTTGTATTGAGAAATGGAACAATGCTTGATTGTTCTTGATTTATTATTGATTTTTTAAGCTCTTCAACAAACGAATTTGCCCAAAATTGAGCAGTATGAGTAGTAACATGTTTATATAGTTGCTATTTAGGAAAATAATAATAATTTAGTATAATAATAATAATAACAACAACACAACAACGATAACAATAAAAATAAAATTACCATATGTCTTTCTTTTTTCCCTTCAGGTGATAAGTTTAATGCATCGTTGATTGCATTTGCTACACCAGTGTAATCCCAAGGGTTAACCATAATCAAATCATCAAGTGAACCTGCCATTCCAGTGAATTCACTTAATATCAAAGATCCATGATTTTCTTGTTGGCACACTATATACTCCAATGAAGTAGTGTTCATTCCATCACGAATTGATGTTATAAGACCAATATCTGCTATACTTAAAAGCGCATAATATTCATCCTGAGCAATATTGTTATGATAGTGATGTACAGGTGTGAATTCTAATGAGCCATATTTGCCATTTATATGAGCAATAAGTTCTGAAACCTTGCGCTCTAATTTTGGTGAATCACTAAGTGCGGGTGTAGTGACTTGAATTAAAACTACCTTTATGTATGGGAATTAAAAAAAAAGATTGTATTAAAACAAAATCAACGATTTAAAATGCATAAAGATGTATGTATAAATTGTAATTACAGACTTTATTATGCCATATTGGATACAATGATAAAAAATTTTCAAAAGCAACTAGTTTTTGAATGACGCCTTTGGCTTGGTTTAACTTATCTCTACCAACAATTATCTTCTTATCAGCATACATTTCTTGGATCACTTCCATTTTTGTCACAACTTCAGGGAGTTTTCTTTTTAGAATTTAAGCAAAAAAAAAAAAATTAATTAATAATTACATAATTATAGTTTTACATTTGTTATTAATATTCTTATAATCAATGCTAACTAACTACCTTTGTTCTTCAACTTTCTCAGCATCAATCCCAATTGGAAATGTTCCTATAGTTACTATTGAATCTCTTGCATCAATAGTGCCTGCTATATGCTTATCTTTGCTGGTTTCACCATTTTGCGTAGATTCATATCCTAAAACACGAGTACAACTACTTATAAAATGTTTTGAATATGAATATGTCTGTATAATAATATAAAGAATATTAATATATATATCTAATCAATTATTATTAAATTTAGATGATAAAATAATTGACAAGCAACCTGAAATCCTATTTGATTGGCACCTAACATTCCATTCAATATTTCATTCCTTTCTAATTTTTAATCAATCAATCAATGTTCATTATATCTATATGATTAATTTTATTCTTGTGGCCAAATATCATCATATGGTAATAAATATATATATATTTTACAAACTTGATAAACATCGAAAAATTTCAGAACTAGGAAATGGCGTATGAACAAAAAGTCCAACTGTTACTTCAGGAAGCTTTTCACGTAACATTTGAGGAACCAGCAAAAGGTGATAATCATGAACCCATACTATGAATATAAATATATAATATATTTATCCATACTGTCCATTAAATTTTTGAAAATTTACATACAACATTACCAACCTAAATCACCAGGTCTATATATTTCCACAATTTTGTCAGTAAATCGTTGATTAACCTTTACATAATTCATCCAATTTAATGCTTCTATTCTACCATCAGTGGCAGTGTCCCATAAAATATAGTGAAATAACGGCCATAATACTGTGTGACATGTAAATATTGTTGCGGTTCACATGATCAATAACAATTTTTTTAATAATAGATTGATTGATTAAAAATTGAAAAAAAACATACCAATTTTACAATAACCTTCATAATGTCCATGATGTTCTGCATCATCAAGAAAAACAGGTACAATTTTTTTTTCGGCCAAGGTCTTTACCAAACTTGCTTTTAATTTGTCTGTTTGTCCACTTGGTTCGATACTTTTTTCGGGATTTTCATAAACAGGACCAATAAAACCAACATGATAATTCTCCCATTCCGAATCTAAAGAACTGACACCAGAATAAAGAGCAGAATAATCGTCTCGTGGCTTTAAATCCCATTGATATTTATCATCCTTTACATCGGATAGTAATATTGGGTCATAAGGTATCATGTGAGTTGTATTAATGATACGACCACGTTTCGTTGTATTATCGTTAATTTGTTTTCTAACCATGATTAATTAATTAATTAAAAGTTAAAAAATTTTTTTTTAAAAAGAAATGTTTTGTTGAACTAATTTGGAAAAAAATCCCTTTATTTTATATAATTTTTTTCGTTTTCAAATGCAACGAATCTATTATTATTGAAAAGTCATTGTATCTAATCTCATAGATCATCGATATGGTGATGTAATAATTATTTTTTATTATTTTTTTTATTGGCGTTTAGATCATAAGATAAAAAGATTAAAAATTCTTTATTATTATATAAATAAATAAAATTGGTGTAACATAATTATTTAAAAAATTGCATGATTTAAAGAACAATTTCCAACATCAAAAGAAAATCAAACTCTTCGTTGCGATTCCAGTGATTCAACAAATAAAAGGATTTTGTTAAAACTTACAAAAACCTACACCACTAGTGCTACGTAAAAGTCGTTATACGTACCAATATTAGCCAACTTATATGCGCATTTTTTTATTATTATTAATACCGTTCGTTGTATATTACTATCACACACAGTGTTAACTTCAAAGTCAAAAATCGAAAAAAATCAAATTATCACAATTCGTGTGTATGCAAAAGTTGCTCTACATACCGATATACGGAAAAAATTACATTTTTTCGACGGTTGATATGATATAATAACAACAATACTGTTGCCATTACCATACTACTCTACATAGTAATAATAATAGGTAAACTTGATAAGTTGACCATGTGTGACCCCCTTATGATATTCATGAATACAAACCCTACCAGAATTATACCTGTTTTATAAGATTATGAGTTTTAGGCTGCCATCAGATGTTGCTGATTTTGACCAACTGAAAGATGCTTTTAAATACATGATTAAATTTCGAGTAAGTTCACTTTTCAATTGTTTTAAAATTCCTTTTATTTTGGAGTTATAACAAATCCAAAATTTTTAGACAATTGTAGATGAGAATCATAGAAGATTGAAAAATATTATTGAAGGAAGACCTGTGACTCCAACCAATTCTATTCAATGGACAATAAAAATCAAGAAATCTCCTATAACTTTAAAAAAAGAAGAAAAAGAACTAAAAAATAAAGCTACTAGAATTGAAAATTCGAGAGAAAAAAATCCATTCACTTAGGCTTAGTATGATTCTTCTTTCTATTATTGAATATTCCTAGATTATTTTATCAAATTAAAAAAATTTAAATAATATTTTTTCACAATGACAATTTTAACATAAATAATAATAAAGCTGAATTACAACAAGTATTTAATTATTTAAAAAGCAATAATAAAACATCTTTAGCCCAATCAGAACTTAGCCAAATCATTGCCGAGAAAAAGAAAGAACAATTGCAACAAACTAACTCAACTAATTCTTTGCCTCATTTATTAATAGGAGGAATAATAGTGTTGATGATAGGAAGTTTTGCCTATCTGTTAGGAAGAAAGAAAAAAGAAAAAAAATTAAGGAATTAATTAACCTGAATTAGGTGGTAAATTATTTTTCTTCTGATTTTCTTTCTAGATTCATCATGGTTTTGTGTCAATGTTCTTTTATTAGTTATGATTTTTCTTTCTTCTTGGTAAATTTCATAAGTAATCTTTTCTTTTCTTAGATAAGCTTCCAGTGTCTGAGTATCATT